GTCTACATTGTATTGATTTTGTGTCAAATCGGTACGTACCAAGATTCACATCCCTTAGTAAAATGGTAGCCCATCTTATTGTGTAACCTCAACTAAAAATGAAAAACAAAAAACATAAAAAACGAAGAAGCTGAGACTAAACCAGATTTCGTGAACCAGAGGACGTGCCATTTTACTCTACAACCGGAGTGGTGAAAACCAAACGAAATAATCACTTTTGATTTTAATCAGAACACTTGCCAATTTACTCAACAACACAGAATAAAAGAAAGCTTGAGAATAACAGAGCTATCGGCCAAATAAATGAGAAAATAACATAGACCCGTGAGGGTGCATGCTTAACCAGGGGCACTAAAAAACACATTCTGGCATTGATTGGGGAGGAACAGCGAGACTTTATAAATGATATAAGTTGATGTTTCGAATTATCATTATCAACACACAACAGAATGAAGATATCTGTTTCTCCTTTTAACTAATGGGTAAGTTATGGACCTCTTTAGTCCATTTTAGGATTGACGAGACAGAATGTATTTAATACATAGAACGGAATAACTAAAATATAAGAAAAGGAAGGGGCTTCCCTAACACACACCAAAAGCTCATTTAGCCCATGGCATACTTCTGGGTCCAGCTCCTTGCAGTTGTCTCATATTTGTTCCTATCTGTCTTGTACATATGAGCAATCTCCGGCACTAATGGATCATCAGGATTTGGATCTGTGAGTAATGAACAGATTGACAACAACACCTATATGTGAAGACAGAAAAATATTATGCAAAGCCAATTCAAAAGGATGAAGAAACAAGTTCATGGCTAATAATCCAATCTCAAATATAGTAAAGGAAAATTAAAACCAAAAGTATTATTCACTCAAATGAAATGAACATGGTCAAAATTCATGCACAATGAATAGAGAATTGTGAATAAGAAAACCAGTTGGCTGAAGAACAAGAACCTTAGAAATTGTTAGTGCAGGACTCCACTGCTCCTTCAAAATGTCCAAGCAAATGCTCCCATTGCTGTTTATATTTGGGTGGAACACCTTTGTTCTGAATGCCACCTGCAATAGGTAACATAAAGTATAAAGCACTTCTTAACTTATTTACACTGACAAGTGTCATCTAGATGCCTATGTCCTGTAAACAATTCTATAATAAAGCATTTCTAGGGATTATCTCCACCAATTTGAGGATTTTCTTGGAATGTCAAAGACTTAATAGACATTTTCAAGCTTCAAATACAATCTTAATAATTTTTTTCCCTTGAGATATATATATTCTTAGAGTTGCTTCCAGTGTTTTATGGCACAATTGGACAAGCATCTAGGTACTAAAAGAAGCACTCTAGCAAGAAGCAATAGAAATGACTGCTTCATTAACGAACCTCTCACTTCACAAGGGCATTATACAACGCAGGCAGCTTCCACCAAGAAAATGGAATTTGTCAGCCAGAAATAAAAACTTCTTTCTACTAAAACTACACACCATAATTTGCCTTAGTATTGAAATGGAGAAGGACCATAGGAGAAACAAAAGGGACCAGTTCATATCAACAAAATACAAACAAAACATAGTGCATAATACAATAATGGTCTTTTCCCCTTTATATAGTGGATATAGCCAGAGACCAAACATAATGGAGGTTTGAGGGGGCATGGCCCAAAAAATTTTCAAAACCCTTCAATTTTAATGGGGATTTATTCATTTTCTCCTCAGAATTTTTTTCAATTAATTGGCTCCCCACAAGAATTTTTGGCCCCTCCTAAAATATTTGTCAAGTTCTGTCCCTGTATATAGCAGCACAATGACAAATCTAAAAGTTCAGTATAGGCCTATGATGCTGCCAAGGGAAGGAGAAACCCTTACATCATAGGGTTTATTTTTAATGGTTCTTTATTTATTTATTTATTTATTTTAATGATTCAATTCTCAATGGTTTCAGACTTGACAATTAAACTTTCTAGTCAAGATCAATCCATTTGTCACGAGAAAGCCTGAGCCAATAGAACAAAAATCAAGTTTGTATTAAATTAATTAAACAGAGTCACCAACATGGGGACATATTTTAATATTTAACTACTTGGCTGGTTATTAGATAAGCATCAATGATCTAGGTAAATTTTATTTCGGTAAAGGTAAAACAATACCAGTCAAGCTAAAACTACTGTTAGCACTGAGATATCATTAGGATAAACTACAAGTTACACTGGGAATAAAAATAAAGGTCTTTAGAGAAAAAGTTCACAAATACATTGGGCCTAAGCACAGAACCATGAAATTTTATTATTACTATTATTATAATTATTATAAGGAACTATGGTTAATATTTCAAGCTGAAAACAAGAAATCCTAGTTCTACTGATGGACCACAAATGAGAAAAGTCTAAATCAGAGAGTAACAGAGTATATGAGCCACTGTACTAAACATAAGCTATGAATGCAAATTACCTTGGGAGGCTTAAATGGATAATCTGGAGGAAAATGAATAGTGACCAGAAAAACACCCCCAGCATAAGGACTGTCTGCAGGACCCATAATTGTTGCCTGCCAATGGAACATGTCTTCAGCAACAGGACCTGCAAATTTCCAGAAAAGTACTTGCATAAACAACCAAAGAAAATTCATCATATAAAAGATCAGATTATAGCATAGACCGGATTCATAACACGCATGTAATGACTACCTTGATTTGACACCAATTCAGAGAATAAAGGATAGGAAGAAAATGGGCTTGAATTTCATAATAAAATTCTATTCCATAACTATCATCAAGCAGGCTTGTTAGCTTTTTGTCTCAAATGAAACCTAAGTCAAAGTGCAGAACAAGACATAATTACAAATCTAACAAGAAATTTTGACATACAAAACCGGGCATCAGTTCTGGAATGAATAAAGGTGAGGTTTTAACAATAATAAAGAGAACTTGCTCTACAGACACTTATGTCATTCCTTATTATTAGATACTCTAGATATGGCATACCACAAAATCATGAATATGCAAATCACCTAAAAAAATATCAATGGCAAGCACAATAACCTTGCCACTGCTACGAGGTCAACTAGGCTATGTTTACCACCTGTTTACCAGCTGTCTCCACAACAAAATTTAACTGGTCATTTAACCAGCTTTAAAGTAAGTGTTTTAATTAGATGGCAACCATATACTATAAGGAGAGTTTTCTTCCTTCAATAGTTCAATGTATGGTACCTTTCTAACTTTGCAATTATGCAAGAATACAATCTTTGTTCAATTGAAGTTCTGGATGTCAGGAACCACAGAAACAAAATCAACTTAGAATGCTTTTGTCAAATCCACACCAAACTTCATCCCTGCTGTCCTGACCTTCACTCAAACCTAATAAATCATGCCTTCAAGCCTACATGGCCCATGAATGGATGATGTTCTTACCCTCTATGCACCAGCAATCCAACCCAACCCCATCCCTCCCAAGTAAAAAGGAAAAAAATAGGTAGAAAAAGAAAGAAAAGATCCTGCAGTTGCAAGACACCTCCAAAGCTGTAAATTAAGTGTCTCTTCTAAGGTCAAGTATTCATCAAACAATCAATATATAAGAATGAATTGCACCTATGCCATACCGAATATAAACATTAATATACTGTTAATATTTGAACAGAATTTGTTAAAACCCAAACAATCAACATGACCAACCTGGCAGATGAGGAAACATTTTTAAATTTCCATCATAATAATATACATAAGATTTATTTTCATCTAAAAGCCCAATTCAGCTTTCATGATATTCAGTCAAGTATAAAGCATCCTCAAGCATCTGTAAAGAACCCAAATAGAAAATACTATGTAACACAATGGCATCCAACTGCAAAAGTCAATGAATTTCAGAGTCTATGAAATGATTTCTTGGTGAAGACAAATATTTGTTCAAACAAAACAAATTGCTGCAGAATACTAATAAGTAAGCCTCAAAATCGTTAATATCAAATACACAAACAATATCACTGCAGTAAGTTGCTATTATACATGTCATATATATTAGAAATAACATAAAGACGTCTCATTCTAAATGAATATAGGCTCATGTCATTAATTGATTTAAAAATATCAAAATACCAATTTGTTCTGTAAAACCCTTGAGTTATGCTATTTAAGGTATTAAATTGGGGACACTAACGTACAAACCAACATTTTCTGACCACAAAACTATCAAGTAACCTCAAATTCCTTTACAGATCAATAAAATAAATAAATGAATAAAACACACACACACACATCACACTCAAATTTAAGCGACTAGCAGATCTTTTCTGATTCAAACTTTATTCCAGATAATCAATGATTAGCAATGATTAAATTTAAGGACAAAAACAGACGCGTACATGAATCGATCGACAAAAGAATTTAATCTCAAGCCGAAACAAATTAACACTTACAAACACAGGTCCGACATTTCTACATCACCATAAGACGAGAAAACTCGCCATTTAACATTGAACAGTTACTTAGATCAAGCCAAACAGATCGAAACGGGAAAAACATGTCGATATAACACAGAAAAAATTGCAATACCAGCGCTGCATGATGTAGGAGGATCCTTCTGCAAATCCTTCAATTCCTTCAAGATCCGCTTCGACGCCATCGGGAAACCTGCGATCCACAACCTAGATCGCCTCAGATCACCATAAAAAAAAAAAAAAAAAAAAAAAAGATAGATAACCGAAAGGAACATATACAGATTAAGGAAAAAACAGAAAAAGCAAAAGAAATCGAACCTTAGAGAAGAGATTGATCTTTGATCCTCACTTTTCTTGAAGAAAAAACCTTCGGATGAGTTTGAGAGAACAATAAAGACGGAAGAAACTGGAGAATATAAGCGGAGAGGGGATTCAGTATGGTACAAACTTTTACAGACGTGTGGACCGCCTTCCGGTGGTGAGAGGATTCTGACTGGGTTAATTGTTATTCGCTATCGTGGGTCCCACTTGGCGTTAGTTACACGAAATTCACCAATTTTTTTTTCCCTATTTCGCCGAAAGTCGCCGCAGGGAAATTGTTCCTTTCCAATTCGAGGGTCTATTTCAAAAGGTTTTTTTTTTTAACTTCTATTCGCATAATTATGATATTTTTTTATATTAATTAATATTAAAAATAGAAATTAATTTTATTAAAGTAATTATTTAATTAAAATAATTAATTTAATATTATTGATAAAATTAAATACAAATTAATAGTAAAACAATATAATAACTACATCATTCATACTTCATTAAAAAACCCCTTTTTTTTTAACTTGTGTGATATTAATTAGTGTTAAAAGTTAATATTTATTTAATTTATTTTTAAATTAAATAATTTACCTAGAATTAACAACAAAATTAATAGTAATTTTTATATTTTATAATTAAATACAAATTAATAGTAAAACAATATAAT